GTTTACTAGGTGACCTACCTTGGATAGTGTTTCGATGTCAACTTCATTAATGGATTCACTACGCGTCAAGATGCTCAGTGGCAAGAGGTTGCTAATCTGAGCTCTAATTTCATCCAGCTGGGGTGACACCTTGAACGCCCTTAACATGCTTTCTTGTGGTGCATTATTCTGTTCGTCATCCTTCAGTCTGCTTATTTCTGCCCTTGGTTCCTCTATGGAGGACTTCAGGCTTTCGATTTCTGGGGGAAGTGACAATGACCCACTTGGTGGCTGAAGTCTAGTTAGTCTCGCAAAAGATGTGGGGCTTCCATTAAGCTCTACGTCTTCTGCAACATTTAGTGTTGCGGTCTTATTGCATGTTGGGCGTGCAGCGATGCATCCCTGCACCAACCGCCTTATTTCAGCACTACCTGCATCATTTACTCACTCTCCGCCTTATTTCCACAGGGCAGGGAAATTTTATGTAAAAATTTCCTACCCCTTACCTATCGATCGGTACATCATGGCTAGTGACTCCATTAATTAGGCATTCGCCCGCATTACTCACGCATTACGGTGTGACTGGGTGTTTCTATTATTATTAACGTTGGCTGTCTTATCGAGCGCAGTTCTTCTTTTGAGCATAACTGGAGTATAAGCTGACTCGCTTATGCTGTTGCAAGAGGAATCTGCTTTTGGAGTCACCAACATTTGGGCATTGTTGATGCGCTGTTCCACAGGCAGTTGTGTCCGTGCCTTTTTACATGCATTAGCCATATCTAGTTGCATGTCTGACATGTGATTAGTCGTTTGAGAATTAAGTAGGTTTATGATGACGTGAATAACAAAGTTATGATACAGTTACGAAATCACGTTAAAATGTAACACAACTCCAAACGTACTACTTATTACATCAGGTGGCAGTGAGCCAGAACTGGATCCTCTCTACCTAAACGGTCTCTAATCTTGGTCCACTACTGTTTCTTGCCGCCAGAAAATCTCAGTTCTCACTCGCTGTTATATGTTGCGGGTTTGAAGATTCGGAGGGAAATAAGGGAGCCGAGGGATAGTTTGGTCCTCCAGAAATACCTCCCAAAATCCCAAATTGGATCGATGAAGGCTTGCTCCCTCTCAACATGGAGGAGCGTAGAGTAGTGATTGAGGACAAACACAAAAGTAGTTCCAGTCCAGACGCTGGGTGTAATGTACATCTATCTCACCCAAACACTTAAAAAGATATGGGAGTTGCTTTAGGTGGCTCACCTAGAGCTTTGACCCATTGTTGCCTTTCAGCCAACAAAACCTACAAAGCCTTGTGGTCTTTTTCACGGACTTTGGGGAGCCTAACTTTGGCTCTTCTCGCCGGTGTATGGACTTTATATCCATACTCATCTTGAAAATATCTCGCCATGAATGTCCGCGTACTTGAAGAAGGATATCGCCATCCGGGAATGGGTTCAGAGAAGAGCTACAAAAATGTTATTGGACCATGGCGCCAACCTACTCGAGATCGCCCGGTTGCTCTCAAACTGTGGCCGGCGCGACACTGGAGAGCCGGAGGGGATGAGACCACGATGTGCAACATTCCCCATAAAACCCTTCGCCCTGACGGATTCGTCCAACGCCCTAATAAGATAAACCACTTTCGAGGCCACAAGTTAAGAGCAGAGTATGAGAGATCACACAAGATGATCAGCACCAACTCCCTTGTGGTGAAAGTAGGCAAGGTGTGGGGCTCCCTTCCTGCGCTCGAGAATCCTTCAGCCATCTATAGATCAGGAGGAAAACGCCAAATGTAAGCAGCAGATTAGCCTCACCCACTGAAATACTTCACCACTTACTAGCCGGTCATAAGCCAGGGTAAATACAGAACATTGACAATAAAGCCAGCAGCCCTACCCCGGAAAACCAGTTCAATAGGTAAACAAACTTCAAAGCACGGAAAATATAAAAATAAAAACAAACTCATTCCTCGCTGGAATCAGAGCGACGAAATGATGCCGGTTGGTGAAAGCCTTCGCAAAGCCAATTAGCACATATGCCTTCGATTCTCTCGATGCAAACCAAAGCGAAAATGGGGAAATAGAATGTCCGCACTATGTTTGAACTTAGCAAGGCTGCCCACATTGCAAAACAGATGAGAAGGCATAGCATTGAAGTGCTAGGAATCTGCGAAAGCAGGTGGAATGGAAGTGGACTCTCCAAACTGTCAACTCCAGAGTCAATAATCTACTCCGATAGTGTCACCCAAACGACAACCACGAGCACACTGAGTTTTCGAGTAGCTATCATGATGTCCCCTTGAAGAGCATAGAAGGCTCTCTCTCATGAAGTGGGAACCAATCTCCTCCTGCAGGATCATGACAGCAAGGTTCAACTCAAAAGAAAGGAAGGTCACAATCATACAATGCCACTGCTACGCACCTATAAATAATGCAGATGAAGAGAAAAGGGAGGAATTCTACAGACAGCTGCAATCAATACAGGACAAGATTCCAGTCGACGATATCAAAATTCATTCTAATGGCTGACATGAATGCCAAACTGGGAACAAACAACACAGGAAGAGACCTGGACATGGGTCGAGAACCACTCGGTGAAATGATGTATGAGAATGCAGAACTGTTCGAAAACTTCTGAGCATTCAACGATTTGGTGATTGGAGTGAGGCAGTGTGTACAAACACAAGCATATTCACAAAGTGAAATTGATTTCACCAGACACCATGACACACTAAAAATCAGATCGACTTCATTTCAATATGAAGAGAGTGGAGACGCAGCCTACTGGACACAAGATCAGAATCAAGAAGGGAAGCAGATGTAGGTTCATACCACTCACTACCTAGTGCAAGGAACCTTCAAAATCAATTTGAAAGTCTTCACAGAAGTTGGTGATGATAGACCACAGTTCAGGTTGAACACTCAGAACAGAAACTGGAATGAAGGACGAAACTACAAAGGACATCTTCGCATCAGTCATTAGGACAGAATGGGAGATATTGAGCAACATCCCCGAAGAAACCTTCACGGTGGAACAATGGAACTCTTTAAAAGAGATATGGAAAGAAGCATGCATAACCGTATTAGTAAGGAAGAAGAAGAGACAAGGAATGGATCTCGATGGACACATGGAAGGTGATACAGTAGGAAGATAAACCAGTGCAGTGCAAGAATGAGCAGCGAAAAGAGGAACAGAACAGAGCTTATGAAACGCTACACTGGACACACTAAAAATCAGATCAACTTCATTTCAATATGAAGAGAGTGGAGACGCAGCCTACTTGACACAAGATCAGAATCAAGGAGGGAAGCAGATGTAGGTCCATACCACTCACTATCTAGTGCAAGGAACCTTCAAAATCAATTTGGAATCCTTCAAAGAAGTAAGTGGTGGACCGCAGAACTATTTAGACAACAGGGAGTTCTGTATGAAAGTCAGCGGGGTTTACTCAACTTGGGGAACATCCTCATCCGGTGGCTCACAAGGGGCAATCTTGGGCCCACTGTTGTTCCTACTGTTGGCAAATGACCTGCAGCAACATATCAGCCCCCCCATTCTCCTAAACGCTGATGATGTCAAGTTATGGAGGGCAATAACTTACGAAGCGGAATCTGTAACATTACAAAAGGACCTGAGAACACTAGAGGGATGAGGAAGTAATAACGAATCGGCATTTAATCTGGGTAAGTGCCGGTCCATGTTTTTCCGCACTCCTGATCCCCAGAAAAGTCCCACTATCTCTGTGGTTCACGTCTATTCCATGCCACAGTAGAAAAAGACCTGGGTTTAACGGCTACGGCGAAACTGGACACCAGTTCCAGTTACTCAGGCGATGCCTCAAAAGCATGTGGGGTACTGCGCTTTGTCCGTAGACAACTGGGTGCCCCCACCCCAGAACTCTCCCTGAAGCTCTACAAGACTTACGTAAGACCCCACTTAGAGGTCCATAACGTCCTCGCTCCACCACAGCTGAAAAGGGGCGCGAACCTACTGGAGAAAGTCCAGAGGCGAGCCACAAAAGGGTTCGTTGGAATGCAACGAAGACCATATGAGGATAGACTCAAAGACCTGGGTCTATACTCCCTTGGCTATCAAAGGATGCATGGCGACTTAACAAAATAATGAGTAACCCAAGTCACCCAAACAAAGGAGTTCTTCCGAGTGGCCACTACGGAGATCCTCGAGGAAACCCCAATAGAATAGCCCACCAAAGGTCAAAGACGCATGCGCGTCCACATCTCTTCTACCTGCGAGTCTGTGTGTACTGGAACTCACTACCAGCAGAAGTGGTCTCCGCCCCAACTGTTGAAAGCTTCAAGAAGAGGCTAGACAGTCATGCAGAGACTCACGGTCTGCCCACACATATCTGGAACAAGAAGTGACGTCAAGCCACCCCAACCAGTTTCCTTTCTATTGTAACCATTTAAGCCCTCTTCACCCCTTCCACTTGCCATAAGTTAGCCTCACTTACCTAAGTTCTTCACACCTTTGCACCCCTACTCACCTTACTTGGGTGTAAGTAGATTATTACATTAGTTCACTTCTGCTCCCTTCTTTACTCACACAAACACTTTCTAGGTTTTCTCTTCATTATCCCTAACCCCTTCTAGCGACCAGTCCAAACAACTGTCTAGCAACTCGACATCTGAAGAAGCCAACTGCACCACAGTCCAAGGCAAACAAACCAACACTTAACTTCCTGTTCTGTAAATCAGAGCTTTAGCAGACGAGTGGCTGGACCTACTGCATCGGAATCCACCAAAGATCTGGAGCTGTTCCGCAAGACCAAGAAGTGAGAGCGAAAAAATCAACTGGTATACACAAGCTCATTGAAAAGATATTGGATATTGGACTCTCAGCCTCCTATCCTCAGACAACAAATGTGATATCTGAATCTTTACTTGCACACATGTTTGCACATAGGTTAACAACTGCAGTGAGTAGATGTCCATGGATTGTAGACGTGGAAGCCACTTAGGTGCTTGCTTCTTCTATTCGGTCAACCACCATTTGAAGGACACTTTGCAAGGTTGGAGCATACTTCAAATGGTTTGCGAAGCTGACGTTGATTTACACTCAACAGATGGAAGAAACTATCTTCGGGCCATCATCTTTTGACGTTTTCCCTCAACCCACTTCTTCGAAATGTTGCGAAACTCAATTTGGACGAAAACCAAAAAGGTTGTCTGTGAGGGAAATAAAAATTCGACGGTCTGAAGATTGCAATACGTATGCGGCACTTACAAGACACCTTCGAGCTAAGGTTCGTTGCCGTGATTACCATCAAATTTTTTTCCTGTTTATTCTTCGTTATTAGCTGTGATATCCACTGTGTATCTTAATAGTCTAGAAGATGATATATTAACGTGACTGTTTTCTATTTGTCAATTAATTTCAAACTGTCTGTAGCACGACAGCGGTGCGTCAGTGTAGTGTACTCATGGTCTATTTGTTGCTGCATAACTGCGACAATTTAAGATAACGGGTTCTGTTTGCAGCCCGTATGTGAACCTGTTTTCGGACCCTGAAGTAGTTGTTGCACCTCAGTAAATGATAGGGTAGCATAAGCGTCAGTTGCATAATTATGGGGTTCAGAATTAGACGTAAATGCAGATTAAGTGGAAGTATGATTGTGTAAATCATCAGCCAGTATACACCTATGATTCTGCGCACATTAGCTTTATTTTGTATGTTAACATCTATTTAGGAATCAAGCAACGAGAATCATGAACTTCGAATGATACAGTATTGAGGAAAGAATGAATCTCTAGAAAGTAGAAAGTAAAAAATGTGCAAGTCACCTTTTATCCTAAATAGTATTTAGTGTTTAGCTGATATACAACAGCTAGCACCGATCATCATGAACGGGAGAAACCTAAAGGAAGTAGTCTCTTTCACCTACACCACCTACCTAGGCAGGGTAGCATCGTCCCAACTACAGGCGACACGGGCACAGATGCTGATGTCAAAGCCAGGATTGGAAAGACAGCAAGACAGGCCTTCAGTAACCTGAAGTCTGTGTGAAGATCTACTCCACTCAGGACAGAGAACAAGATGCGGATTTGCAACACTAAGTCAGTGAAGTTAGTCAGTGCTTCTATGTGATGGTTGAGAGAGTTGGCAGCGCATTACGAAAGCAGTTTCAGCAAACCGCACACATACATCACACCAACGGCTTCCGCCTACGCTCACTCGATACTGAAGATGGAGATCAGATGACCAGAATAATAAGAATAAGCAACAAGTAATTCTGGCTGCCTGGATGGCTGGCTGGCTGGCAACGAACCAACCAGGAACCTATCGCCAACAAATATGCAGAAGACGAAAGTGGAGATGGATTGGATTGGGCATACACTGTGAAGACCATTTTGGGACATCACGAGTCAGGCCAGATTGTCGAGTGGAACTGGAATGGTAAACGATGAGTTGGCGTCCTAGATGAGGGTGACATGGAGGAAATTGTGTGAGGAAGAGATGGAAGGTTATGGGGAGTCGTGGAGTCAGGTAAAAAAGGTTGCAGAGAAGAGAGTGAAATGGCGACTGTGCTACTGAAGCCCTATGTTCCATTGGGAACCCAAGGGACAAATAATAATAATGCAAGAGACTGCATATTTTTGACCGGAGATATCTTCATAGCGTTGCTCACATATGATGGAATCATTATTTGAGCCCAGTAGAGATTACGCAGAGAGTAGTATGTGAAGCAGGCAAGTCGGTCAATGAGGTTGTGCATCTTCAGCGAACATGTATCACTTTTGCCGCACCACCGTCTACTTCGGCGTGCAATCCTCGGGGATTAGGTTTGAAGAGGGTTCAAGTTAAGCACACTAAACCGTGGTACCAATCCATGAAGTCTCTGAGTATTGGTGTGAGTCACGTGGGAGATATTGACTTAGTGACTGGGGTCACTGACACCTTAGAAATCAATGTTTAGAGAGTCATGGTGAAAAAGCTGGAAATCGGTTACAATGGCGCAAATGTATTTATTCTTTGACGTCTTCCAAAGCTTAAACATTTTCACTAGCTTCCATTTCCAAATTCCTTCTCCCCTCATACACTTTTACTTTGATGTCAGTCTTTATCTATCCACACTACTACTGTGACGTATGACAACTTGAACTGATGCACTTTGGAGCCAGATTCTATGTTGGTTTTGTCAGTCTGTTTGTCTATGTGTCAAGATTGAACTGAATGAAAAAGTGCTAAAACGTGCGGGATTTAAACAGATTATTGTAATGAACGTGTGGCATATTGGTCCCAGCATTGAGATGATGTATGTTCGTTGAAGCTAAATCGGATATGCTGGATAGTTCTTGGTATTGTTATAATAACTGAGAAGATGGCTTCGAGAAGATAATGGATCAACTTTCTGTATGAAGTGAAGTGTCAACCACTGATTGTTCAAGTCTTCAGAAGAGAGGAAAAGTCCTCTGATGATAACCACAGAATAACCAATCTGACCAACGTAATGTCCAAGATTCTAGGTTCTGTAACCAACAGTTATATGGGTGAAGCTTAGGAACAGCGAATATAAAAAAGCCAGGAAGGATTCACCACCGGTCATTGATGTGTCTACCACATAGTTACCTTTTGTTAGGTCTTGCAACACACACCCGGGCCTGACAAATGCCGTATTTCTAAACCTAAAGGTAATCTTCAACTCCGTCAGCTGAGAAGTCTATTAGTAGCTTCCAGCACTGAAACAGGTACCGGGTAAGCATAACATTTTGTTGAAGGCTAAATATTCGAATATCCTTGGGCTTGCCAGAGCCTTTGCTAATTTGTCAGGTGAACTGTGTACGTCGAATTGTGTCCGTCAAGGTTGTCCACTCTTTCCATTCTCATTCATTTTTGTGCTAGACGTGGTCGTGGAGGTCTCTTTCTCGCCATCTGACTTCATACGGATTGATCTTGTCACACGAGAGTCCTTAGTAAATGTCGAGTGCACAGATAACATGGTCCTGTTGGGTGAAGACGCTGACAAGATGCATAATCTTGTGGACAAGTTGAGTGGGCAATTTGAGAATGTTTGGGACGTGTTTGTTGCCATTGAAATGCAAATTGTTGCCCCAGGACTGGGATTCAGTGGTAGTGGGAGTACAAATAGCACGAATGGTTGAGTGCATTGAGCATTTGACTCACCTAGGAAGTTGGATCAGTGACCGACGAAGTCTGTACGTGGATACAAAAGGCCGGATTGGCTATCGAGAAGTTGGACCATTTATGTCACGACCTCTATATCCGATTGGTTTTCTATTAAGAATGGAGTGTACTGGTCTGGAGTTCACTCTGTTCTACTGTATGACTGTGAAAAATGACGTTTAAAGGTAGAGGTGTCTGACCACCATTGGTTTTGTAGCATAGGCTATGTGTTGTGTTGTCAGGATGTCAGTAATAAAGGAGACAGGAGTAGAGTTTTATAGAGAAGATAAAAGTCAGTGGATGAAGTTATGAAACTCTATCGACTAAGATGGGTGAAAGATGCCTAGTGATTGACAATGTGCCTGATTGGACAGTGTTAGCTGAGGTTGGTTCAGTTTGAAAAGAGGGTTAGCGGTGACTAGAATGAGACATATTTTGAGTGTAGGAAGTCTTTGACCGATGATGTGAGCGGTACAGGGTAATGTAGACTTGGTGTGACTACAAAAACGAGTGGTTGGAGACAATGATTGGTTTGGTATTGCTGAGAGTGGAACGCATTGTCTCAGATGTATCGCGACATTATTTTCATGATGATCGTCATATTGAATCGAGTGTTTTCTTATTTTTCCTTCCTCTGTTTTACTAATTAGTACTGTTCTTGAGTGGTTCTTCTTTGTTTCTTTGTATTTGATGTGATTTTATTGTTGTTTGATGTGTAGCAAGTGAGACTGTTATTCAATGATACCTGGTCCTACGTTGATGGCGATGATGATAGATGTGTCGGACCTCCGTCACGCAGTCTGTGCTACAAAGGCAACGGTGGTCGAGCTCCTTGGGTCTTCTCATGTCGTTTATCTTTAAGGGTCATAATTTACCGCCATATAGTTGGACAGAGAGGACCTTTGTGTAGTACGCCTGATGTTTGGTAGGCGTTCAGATGTCGCTATCGCTGCAAATAATGCTGGTTGGTAACAATCAATCAGCCCTTCTACATTCATGCCGAATGTTTGTCGACTGGCAATGTATCAGAGCTGTTTAGTTTTACAAAGTTGGTGAAACGGTCATTGTATTCAGTCACTTCACTTCCTATTATTGGGTGAGGGATTAATGCAGGCCAGTCTTGGAGTTACATTTAACTCTTAGATATGAAACATATCGTAAACACTTAAGCTGTTATTCATGACTGTCTTGTAGGCGTCTTCATTTAAAATGACTTAATGGTCTACGTACTGTATGTTTACTTTGATTTTCATGTGGAGAGATCGATCCCTGCTATGTCTCACTTACGCTTATCAAAGCTCTCTATTCAAACTCACGCAACCGTGAAAGGGCTCATGGTGATGTTCGCCAAGGATATCGACTGTCACTGTTCCTATTTAACTTCGTTACAGGCGTGCTAATGGACATGATCTTAGGTACGTCTGACTTCACAGGGATTGATCTACTTCCTGTAGGTCATCTGGTTGACTTGGGGTATGCAGATGATATTGTCCTACTGAATGGAGACACTGACGAAATGCAGTATTTTCTGAACGCGTTGTGCAGCAGTATGTGTATGTATGTGTATGACATACGTTTCGGACCTCTCAGTTGTAAGCTGATACTCGAAGGGTGCTACATAACTACTCTCAGTTTACGGATAAAGAGTAAAGTGGTGGAATGTATCGATCATTTCACTTTACTTGGGGAGTTGCATTAGCCTAAAAATGGTGGTTGCTAACGAAATCTCAGCTCGGATACAGAAAGCCCGTTTGATATTTGCCAACCTGCGTCATTTTTTGGTTCTGAATGGAGAGATATCCGACTGTCTGTCAAAGAATGAGTATAATGCTCTGCAGTCCGTTCTGTCCTGTTGTATGGCTGTGAGACAGCCGTTGAAAACAGAAGACATGGGGTGGTTGCAGGTTTTGATCACAGATGTATTCGTAACATTGCTCCCGTTTGATGGAATCACCATGTGAACAGCGTTGACGTCAGGCGAAGGGTACTAGGTAAGACAGGTAAGTCGATTGATGTGGTTGTAAATCTCCATCGCTTGAAGTGGCTTGAAAATGTGTTATGCATGCCGAGTCACCACTTACGTAAATGTGCTATGGTAGAGGATGTTAGATTAGGTTGGAAGAGGACTCAAGGTCACCAGACCAGTCGATGGAGTCTCTTACTGTTGTTCTGAGCAGTGTTGGGAGATGCAGACCACCTGGCTGAGGTCCTGGAGACGATAAAAATCAGCGATTGAGGACTTTTGGTGACATGGCTGAAAACTGGTCACAATGGTCTTGGTTGTATTGTGTTATCTGAGCTGGGTTGTTTAATCGTAAAGCTTTCATCGTCTTTCTAGATGACATCATCAGCACTAACTTCAGGATGGAGCTAAGAATATTCTCCTTTACTGGTCACAATGATGCAGATCTATTCACTCCTTGACGTCTTGTAAAGCTTGAATATTTTCACTAACCTTTTTTTTCAGATTGTTTATTCTCTCACACAACTTTGTCTACCTTGATATTTGTCGTTTTCTATCCACGTGTTCTTTGTGTTCTACTGTGAAGTGTGGCAACTTGAGCCGATGCATTTGTTTGTGAGATTTTACGTTGCTTCTGTCCATCCTGTCTGATATCTATGACAAAATTAGGTGAAAATGGTGAGAGTGGATATCCTTGATGACACTATTCACCGTAAGCTCTAATATGCTGACAGGTATTTGAGTATACACCTGGAGAAAAGTAAAAATTTAGTTGATGCATTCATGATCACTTCTTAAAACTACCTAATTTTCTTGTTTGCTAGACCCTTTTCGATGTCTAGTAGCCATAGGACTTGCGGTATTGGATCGTGGATTAGCTAGGCGAATGATTTCTCCCTGGTTATCATAAGAGAATTTCCATTTGTTCTTGAAAATGGGGATAATCAGTGAGTGAGGTCACTCAGGTCAGTCATATCTGGCTCACATACACCAGTTAATACAGTTAATACATCACCTAATCGTCTCAATAATCCCCACCCACCGTCCTTAAGGATATCCGTTGCTGGTCCATCTGTGTTTGCTGCCCTTCCCCGTTTGAAGTTACTTACAGCATTATATAAGAGCTGGAGGTTCTGGATATCAGAAAACCGAAGAGTGTCTAGAAGTCAGTTGAACTGTTCATCGAAGTGTTCTGTCCATCACTCCAGTCTTGTCCACTGTCAGTTGATCGTGCGCCTATATTCCTCGCTTATATTCGCAGTAATTGCAAATTTTTGAAGCTCAGCTTGCTTAATAAATTTAAATACCTGTTTGTTATTGCCTGGCGCCGCTGCTTCCTGCAACTTTTTAGCTGACCTTTTGTGGCTTGCATGGATCTGTGGTCCGTCAGTCTAACTACTGAGTTTCCAACAAGTGCGTTACAGACAGGTTTAAGTCCCGCTCCGCCTATCGAGGTCTGGCAGTGGGGTAGTATCATTACCCCTCACACAATTGGTGGTGCTCATTGCATGATCGTTCACATGGTCGATGAGTTGTGTTTTAATTCTTCGCTGCAACCCGTCTTTCCCGCGAAATAAAGTTAGCATATACTTGGAATGCTGGGTATTATCAGAAAATACCTTATTTCTGTCATACGTCAAATGGCCAGCAGCAATTTTCCCTCAAAGCTTCACTGCACAGATTACTTGCACTATGGCCATTAAAGATTTTAAATCTTTCAGGTATCCAACAGATCTTTCTAGCGTGGTAGAGTAAAGTTAAGTAAAATCATTTCAGCGAATAAATCCATATACACCTATCCTTACGTCAGAAATAGTATAGCCAATCAAGTAAAATGTAACTTGATAATCCTCGTCCTTGTCTACTACTTACTTCTTTTGAAGGTGAAGGGAATCGTGAGCAATCACATCCTGACATTGACTGTTTCACGTGTGTATTTCATCAATATGCACATAAAATTATGATATTTTACACATAGAGGTGGAAATTGTGGCAAAACCTTAAGTATCAGATGACAAAGAATTTGATACGTACTCAAGATCTACAATACCTAGTATGTATATTGACGGACATTAGCGCACCAGGTGGTACGTCACGTTAAATATGTCAGTTAGTCGATACCAGCATGGGACCTGGAATTACTGGGCAACGGTCAAAGTTGCCATACTTAATATGGACACACTAAGCGAGAATACACGAAGATGAAAGACAAAGAAATGCAGAAACAAAAGTCAAAAGTGGTGCGAAGTTGTCAAAAGATAACAAGCAGGAGCCAGATAAAACTCAAATCCATTTGCATCGCTGAGTGTTTGCGCATGACCAGGTTTGAACACTGAGCGGTTTTCTTATGTTTTCTGCGTCGGAGCTCTATCTTCGTCAAACGGCTCCGCCATAGTTATAACTGGAGGACTGCTCATTTTCATGAATACTGGGATAGTCAATTATTAGAATCAGTCGGAAGGGAACCCATATTATAATGATTCACACAATCACATTCATTCAGCACTAGTTCATCTTTTCTGGTTTGTTTTAGATTTTTTACAGCACCTTCTAATCTTCATAGCAAGAGTTGGGCGACGTATTCCCCACATTCCATTCACAATGTCAACCGCATAATCGATAAGAAATACCGAGGTTGTAGCATCCTGACATGTTGATGACTAACAGGGATAACAACCGATCATGTTCATATGACCACAGTTGGAAGCGAACTAGAATCGTATTGTAGTCGATAATTTTAATAATAAGAAATCCGATTCGGCTAGGGACCTAGCAACTTGATTTTTTGATAATCGCAGCTGGCGACGTTGTACAGTGCTCTGTTGTGACCATTCCCAGTTGGTATTTTGCATCGGATAATGAGCATCGGCGATCGTCAGTTGCGTCACACGTTTTTGACTTTTTTCCACGATTTAACCAATCCACCAGCTAGGAGAACACAACACCATCAAAATGTTTAAATTGTGGGGCGTCTTCGTGATATTTAGGCAATTCCGAGATGTTTCTTTTCCGTTTTCTTTTTTTTCAATAGTTATTGATGCTTCTTTTTTGTCTGTAGGAACAATTGCTTTCTGCCAGTGCTGGCGCCTATGCTCGCTTAAGTAGTCGATGTGGCTTTTTTCTTCATCAGTATTAGTTCCAACGTACAGTATACGTCTCCTGAGTGTTCAACAAATTCTACCGACCATTTTGAAATGTGGTCAATGAACAAGGTAGAAGACTCAGTATCAATGATACAGTTTCGATAGAAGTTAGTTGGTTGGAGGCAATCGGCAGGAAGCCCTGTATCACTCAGGTTATGTGCTGGTTATCAGTCGTCAGCAAGGCATATCTTTAACTTCGAGGGAACTGATGTCCCTCCAATATACCCAGAGCTTCGATTCACGACACCGTATCACAGTAAGCGACGCTACTATTGAACTATTCAAACTGTAAAATTGGTATTGTAAATGGTCACTGGAATGTTTACCAGTTTATGCATTGGCTCTCAGGAAGCTTGCTTGTCTGTCTGTCAACCAAACTGACTAGAATTCAACTAGTTACCACTTTGTCTCAAGATCCTGAACACCACTTTCCAACATAAGTTAATGATTCAACTAAGGTCAGTTGGTTGAAACACAGTAAATGTGAACTCATCATCATCTTTAAGTCATTTAATAATCAAACTCAAGGCTACTTACTTCAACAGTTTCTTTGAACAAGTATACTATATTATCATAAATATTCAAGCAGTGTCAAGATATCCGCACAGGATCACGTCTGTCATCAGAGGTAGAGCAATTCAGCGCTATGTAGTAACGGGAAATTACGAGTATCAATAAACAACGACTGATACCCGTTGCATAAGAAATGATCTTATGCACTGCCTCAGTAGTCTAGTGGACAATGAACGCTTAAGCGTTTGAAGCAGTGGATAATGGGTTCGAGTCTTACTGGGAAAACATAACTCCTCACTGACGTGCAGGTATACCAGCTGATGAGTGGCACATGATAGGACGAGACGCCTAATTCCCGGATTCCAACACTGGTCACAAAGTAAACTATCACATAGCTAGCAGCTAGGCAAATATGGAAAAATGAAAACCGAATGCATTTAAATAAAGTGTATAGTGGACTTGCAACTCACCATGACGATCATCATCATATGAGCGTTTCCAAAAGTTATCTGATCGGCTGAAATGGTGGAAAGGGAAACATAAAGAATAGGAGGCATGATAATGAAGATTATTCTTAATGACAGAAAAACACAGCATAATCGTCAAGCATATTTTGGGGTCAACACAAACTAAGCATCAATTCACCAACCCATTTATATTGATGCGAAAATCGACCTAGTGTTTATAGTCTAATGACTGAGATTATTGACACATGTTACAGTTGATGTTGCATACATACGATTAACGTGAAGAACTCGGTTAGCGCAATAATACAACTTTTGGTACAAGTAGAAACCAATGGCTGACACCAGTTGGAGAACAATTAAAATTCTGGGAGTACTTGACAGTTATTCTTTCCTAGTATGGGATCCTCTAACAGGGATCGAAGTTCGGACTTTCAGTTTTTGAAGTGAGCACATAAACATTTGGGTAGAAATCCAAAGGTTCATATATTCTCACCTCTGTTAATTCGCGATATAGCACGATAACACTAGGATGAAACAACTGTTCAGTTTTTCAATGGTTTTCAAACTGATGTCAGTCCGTGGTGAATGCTCTCGAATGAAATATACTTAAATCATAATCAAACATAAGTAACCACAAACTACAACACATTGTGCTGGGTATAAATGAAAGTCCCAGTACTTATGGTAGTGTAACGTCTGGTTAACTAGTTCACTAGTTACTAGCCGGTCCTAAGCCCGGGTAAAGAGGGAAGGTTGGGTATAGGGATAGCAACCCTACCCCGTAAAACAAATCTAACCACTAAACAAACTTCAAAGCTCAAACAAAATATAAAACATAAAAACAAATTTATTCCTCGCTGGAATCGGAGAGGCCAAATGACGCCGGTTGGTTAAAGTCTTCAGGAAGCCAATTAGCCGATAGGCCTTCTCTTCTCTCGATTAAAACGAAAGTAAGGATGGGGACATGGAATGTCTGCACTATGTTTGAACCTAGCAAGGCAGCCCACATTGCAAACGAGATGAGGAGGTATCACATTGAAGTGCTTGGAATTTGGGAAAGTAGATGGAATGGGAGTGGACTCTCCAAACTGTCAACTCCAGAGTCAATAATCTACTCCGATATTGTCACCCAGACGACAACCACGAGCACACTGAGTTATGGAGTGGCTGTCATGATATCGCCTTGAAGAGCATCGAAGGCTCTTTCATGAAGTGGGAACCAACCTCCTCCAGGATCATAACAGCAAGGTTCAACTCAAACGGAAGGAAAGTCACAATCACTCAATGCTACTCTACGCACCTACAAATAATGCAGATGAAGAAAAAAGGGAGGAATTCTACAGACAACTGCAATCAACATTGGACAAGACACCACCTCAGTTGGCGACATCAAAATTCATTTTAATGGGCGAATGCCAAACTGGGAGGGGAAAACACAGGAAGAGAACTTACCATGGGTCGAGAAGCGCTCGGTGAGGTGATGAACGAGAATGGAGAATTGTTTGCAGAATTTTGTGCATTCAACGATTTGGTGATTAGAGTCAGGCAGTGTGTTCAAGCACAAAGAGATTCACAAAGCGACATGAATTTCACCAGACACCAGGACAAACTAAAAATCAGATCGACTTCATCGCAACATGAAGAAAGCAGAGATAGAGACATAGCCTACTGGACACAAGATCAGATGAAGAAGGGGAGTAGATGTAGGTTCACACCACTGACTACCTAGTGCAAGGAACCTACCTTCAAAATCAAGTTGAAAGCCTTCAAAAAAGCTAGTGATAAATCACAGTTCAGGTTGAACACCTAGAACAGAAACTGAACTGAACTGAAGGATGAAACTACAAAGGAAATCTCCACCTCAGCCATCAAGACAAAATGGGAGATATCGAGCAACATCCCTGAAGAAACCTGTGTGGAAGAAGACTGGAACTCTTTGAAAGAGATGTGGAAAGAAACCTGCACAACAGTATTAGGAAGGAAGAAGAGACAAGACATGGAATGGATCTCGATGGACACATGGAAGCTGATAGAGGAGGGAGAGGAAGATGGTGAAACAGAAGATGAACTAGTGCAAGAATGAACAACGACAAGAGGAACTGAGTACAACGTAAAAAACACTACACTGAACAAAGAAGTGAAGAAGAGTGCGTGGAAAGACAAAAGACACTTCTACGACACACTGACAAGTTGAGCAGAACGGACTGTCTCGTCTTCAGTGATGAATCAATAACATCAATCACTATCACCCATGATATTCCTGATTGTGATCGACTGGATCATGCAACAAACAGTGGGGAACGAGAAGAGGGGGATACGCTAAACCGCGGAAAAGAAAATAGAAGATCTGGATTTCGTCGATGACTTGTGTCTGATATCACACAAACTTGAAGATCTACAAGTGAAAACTAGCAAGTTGGCAGAAGAGGCAGAGCAGCGAAGACGGGACTTCAGGTGAATATAGAGAAGACAGAGGTGATGAAGATACCCAACCAACACCACCACCAACAACAACAACAACAAGCACCAATCACCATCAACGGGAGAAACTTAAAGGAAGTAACCTCCTTCACCTATCTAGGAAGCACTGTTTCAACTACAGGCGGCACAGACGAGGATGTTAAAGTCAGAATCGGAAAAGCAAGACAGGCGTTGATTAGCCTGAAACCAGTGTGAAGATCTACTGCACTCAGCATGCGGAATAACATCCGGATTTCCAACACCAACGTCAAGTCAGTGCTTCTGTATGATGGTTGAGAGACTTGGCGCGTTACGAAAGGCATTTCCAACAAACTACACACATTCATCAACAACTGCTTACGCTCGCTACTGAAGATCAGATGGCCAGAAAGAATAAGCAACAAGGAGCTCTGGCAACGAACCAACCAAGAAGCTATCACTCAACAAATATGCAGTAGCAGAAAGTAGAGGTGGATTGGGCATACACTGAGAAGGTCGACTGGGGACATCACGGCGCCAGGCCAGTTGCTCGAGTGGAACCCCGATGGGAAGCGACGAGTTGGGCGTCCCAGCTGGGGGTGACATGGAGGAGATCGTGCGCGGAGGAAATGAGAGCTTGTGGGCTGTCGTGGAGCCAGGTTCAAAAGATTTCAGAGAACAGGGTTCATTGGAGACGTGCTAGTGAAGCCCTACGTTCCTTTAGGAACCCAAGGGACAAATAATAATAATAATAATAATAATAATAATAATAATAATAATAATAATAATAATAATAAACATTAAAGTGTCAAAAAGCTAAATTCTGACAGTGGAAGCAAATGATATTACTATTTTAAGATACTTTGTATGCCAGAAGATTGAGTCTAGCTAGCTATACAGCCGCTATCTTTTTAACTGGTGCTTATGAAAATTCTTATGAGACGAGAAATCAAAATCTCATCTCGGTGACTAGGAGAGGGATTCAAGAAACAGGCACTTCATCCTATTCGAGACTCATCCATCAGCTGGATGTATCTGCATCACTTAGTGAGTAGAGAACAATGATGTTCCTATCGAGATTCGAATCCGCTACCCATAGCTTCAAACGCCGAAGCGTTCGTTGTCCACTAGATCACTGAGGCAAGGCACGAAAATTACCTTTTGTGCAACGGATATCAGTTGCTGCTGATTGATACTTGTGATTCCCCGTTGCTATACAGGGCTGAATTGCTCAACCTCTGTTAACAGATGGGTTACAGCTAGCGAAACACGCGTTCTGGATTCCCCTGTAAGTCACCAAGATGAAGATATAGTGATATACATATCCGGTAGTATCGGAGCATTCGCTTGGTAGCCCATCTCTATCTGACAGCAGAGATCGAGCAATTCGGTCATGTATAGGAACGGGATATTACAAGTGCGAAACAACGAATTTTCAGCAATTACACTACTGCTTATACTTCATGGACTTGGAACAATTAGAGATATATTTCGCATCTATGTGTGCAAATTATAAAACAAAGATTGAATGTGTTTTCATGTTACTCTAATACACAATAAGAAAGTTTCTTCCTCGTATACAACACATGATCATATATATTTACCGGTAGTGGTTACAAATTGGAAAACTCGCTTCCTTTCCCCTCTCCTTTCTAATACATTTCACATATATATTTCACCGACCAATAATAATCGTGGATGGGTGATGATATATGACGGGAAAATGACAACCTGGGTCACAATAGCATTCAAAAAGCAGCAACCTTTGGGGAGGGTTACTGACATTCAGTTTGTTTTTGTTGTTGACCAGGCTTTAATCCCTCTTCAATCATCATCATCATCAACATTATGGTTTCGAAATGTTGTGTTTTAGAAGAAATTAGTGTTTTTGATATTTTTTTATAGTGATTTCCTTGTTGAGTGACTGTGAAGCATTGAAATAAGACCAGAATTCATAGAACTCAGCAATCTTGTGCAGTATTAAGCTGTACTGAACCACACAACTGTTGTATCACGAATAATATACTAAACTGCCTAACTATCCGTTTCTTGGTCGATGGAGTACAGTGCTCGAGCTCCGTGGCTCAATGGTTGTGAAAGTCAGCTGTCTAATCCAATGAACCAGGGCTTCACTAAAAGACGTACAGTGACACGGACTATATATCATAAATAAAGCTTCAATTAACACACAGGATATCAGACAGACAGGTAAACTCAAAGCAGACCCTTGCACATAAGTGAATCGCTTGAAGTTGCCACGCTTTACAGTATCATGAAAAAAACGGGGTGAATGTAAAAAGGCTGATATTAAAGTAGACAAGAGAGTATGGAAGAAGGAATATGAAAATGAAAGACCAAGAGTCCTCCACCACTGATTCGTCTCGAGGACCCTAATTAAGTAGTCTACACCACCTCCCTATATGGCTCAGAGTAGTAGTCAGAGACTTTGTCGACTAGTGCCACTTCTTAGTCTGGTCACGCAGAACCCTCGTTCAACCTAATCCACCTTCTATATTAGGTTTTTTTTTATTTGATTTATAACACAGTGATATAGTATTATTTACTTGATGATGACGTTTTGAGCATAAATCACCACTGCTCATAATCATATCAATGTAATCACACTATTTTCGACATTTGATTTTTACAGTTACGTCACTTTATATGAGTTGTCTTTATTGTCAGCAAAATTCTCCATATCTCTGGTATCAGTGTTGTGTCATTTCCAGCTATTGCTATGCATGCATTAACACGCAACCACACAATAGGGTGGGATTAAGCCACTGTACTTAAGTCTAATATAATTGGGTGGCGATTGAGAGAGATTGATTACTGAATCTTTCTTCATCGAATCAACACTCAACACATGTAATAGAAATGACGCAACACCGATACCAGAGAAATGTAAAATTTTGCTGACAATAAAGACAACTCATATAAAGTGACGTAACTATAAAAATCAAATGTCGAAAGTAGTGTGATTATGTTGATATGATTATGAGCAATGGTGATTTATGCTTAAAACGTCGTCATCAAGTAAATAATACTAGATCACTGTGAGTTATAAATCAAATAAACAAATCTAATATAGAATTAAATTCTACCACAGTGCCCAAGTCTTACACCCATACTAATCCACCTTCCCCTAGAACGGCACATCAAGGTAGGCAGTGAGTTATCATGTACAGCACATGTCCAAGCCACTTCAGTCGATTGATTTGCTTCACATGCCTAGTACCTTTCACCTAAACTTAATATTGTTCACGTGGTGATTCCACCAAACGCGAGCGATGCTATGGAGTCGCTTGTAATCAAAAACTTGTAACAGCCAAGTCTCACGGCTGCATAACAGTATAGAATAGACTGTAACGCAGCATATCCATCCTCGATTAGGGATTTGAGTATTTCGTCAGTCGGTGCCACAGGATATCAATTTATGACAGAATTTTTATGCATAACAATGAGGGGAATACAAATTAAATGAACACAGTAATAATTTCTCTATTAATGTAGACAAAATGAATTATTCATTTCTAATAGATGAAGTAAGCCTATGGTGGATAAATAAGTGTTGAATAAAAAGGGTAGTGTTAAATATCAATTAATAGTTACCTGTTCGTTGATTCATCGCCTATCTCATCATCATCCTTACAGCGTATAATACGTCCGGTCTACAAATATATGTCCAGAAAGAAAAACATCAATAATAATTCTCATCATGAAAACACTAAAATTCTCTATAAGGCGTGAGAAGTGGTAAACACTTGTACACCAAAAACAGCAAACACACACAAGAGAATAATGTAGCAGCATTGGAAAGGTGATATAGGAAGTGGGCAGATAAGAAATGGAAGCATAAGTAGTAATCTGTTGTTGGAGAAGCAGTCTCAGACATATCTTACTAACTACCTACCAATATATATAAAAGTACTCACTATTTCTGAAGCATAATCAGAACCAACAGTTTTGATTCTGAGCATTACCTACTATCGTCTCAAGGATCTCGTAGATGCTACTCTAACACCAATAGATCTTTCATCTCACAGTTACATGTCATAGACTAGCCACCTTTTCGTGTCTTTCAACCAGTACTATGGCAAGTGAACACCGAGCGACGTGGGAGGCGCTGGAAAAGCATATGTAACGCAAGTCCACATAATAAATGACGATCTTTACCATGACTAAATACCCTAGAATTACTTACACGGTGTTTCTAACAGGGTCAAGTAACATAGGCGTAGAGTGGAACGGTGTGCGCAATGACGCGTTGAATACTCGACAGTTTTATTATTATACCATTATTATTTGTCCCCTGGGTTCCTAATGGAACATAGGGCTTCAGTAGCACGCCTCCATTCAACGCTGTTCTCTGAAATCTTTTGAACCTGGCTCCACGTCAGTGAGGTAAAGATCACGATAGCGACAAAGATCACCTAGATATCCGTTTGCAGCACTCTAGTTTTCCATATACGTCCGGAAATTTCAGAGATTATACCCTTATCATTACTCACACGACTATTAAAATACAAACTTTTTGACTTCTTCCAAGGGTCCATCAGCAAAAGTGAGTGCATGTATAGGCTCATGCTAATCTCGTAGAAGAGCTTCTCACTTTGACAGTGCGACCATACCTACGGACACTGGTTGACTTTGATTTGTCTATCGTTTAGACCGTCACACAGTGAAACGATATCGACTGAAGGCTGACACCGCTACTATCCACTTTCTTCAAAGGTTTCTTGCTAGTTATTGATAGCGTAGTTACAGCAATGGCAAAATTGGTCAGCACTATATGCATATAGAATAGGTAAATCGTAAAAAAACACATTTTGTGTACACAAATTTTTGACCTGAGTATTGCAATTACCAAGATTACTGTATTCATTCCTCTGTCTTTGTTTCTACCAAAACCTGGTGTGACATAGAGAACTAAGAAAAACACTACAATATTAGTGCAACACAACTACGAGGAACAGATTTCTATTGTTCTACGCTATGCACGTCAGCAATGCAGACGTCAGATGTGGAGTTTCAGATAAAAGTCAGACGGTAAGCTTCAGAACTCTGAATGCCCGATGTGGCTGGAATATGTATCACGCATACCCAGTCACCGTCTGCCACGCTGCATAATGTTAACTGAAGTGGGTTTAGGTGGAGCTATGGCTTACTGTTATTGGGAGCTAACTTTCAAAACCAATAGGTCACGGATTCGAACATCGGGCTTTAAGTACAGAGGTTTGGGCAGGCAGTTACTATAGTGTCATCAACCGTCGCACATAAGTGACTCATTACCGATCATTTCTGCACGAATGTGCACAAGGATGTTGAGGTTGAGGAGGGGGGACAGGTTAGAAGGGGCTGGAGTGAAACATGACACCAGTCTTCTACTATTGATCTGAGTCGTGTAGGGGGGGGGGGATATAAACTTTATCGTTTGGGTCAGCGTGATCACCTAAACCGGTGGCTCGAGACTCTAGGTGCAGATGCATCCCACAAGCTATCCTCATCCCAATCATGATAGCGAATTTCACCATCATTTCGTTTCTACTTGTTTTCTTTTCACTTGTGTGTGCGTGTATATGAGAAAAGTTTATGATGCCACTTGGTAACCTAAACTTCGGTAGGCGGAGGATGGGTTGAACCAGTGACTTAAGTCGACTGTGTAAACCACAGAACATGAGAAATAAAAATGAATGCAATTCTCTTTATCCTCAGGAAATAAACAACAATGCAAAGCATAGTAGAGTACGCACAGACACACCTCAACACCCACCCTGATACACACTCACTTGATTGCGAGTTATTACAATTTTTGACAAGTCACCACGATCCATATTTGATTTGTCTGCAGCGGCAGTAGTTGATTTTATCTGGACAATAATATATGCATATTTATAGAGTATGATTCCTCATGTACATGTGTGGTCGTGTAACACAACAATAAATCCCTGTTTACTTTTTAAAAATTAACAGACAAACTTGCATGTGATTATCATCATCCTCATCATCACCATTACATAGAAGGAAGCAATGCTTGTTCCCAGCTGGATAACAGCATAATATCGACAGTCTCTTCTTTCGTGCATATACGATGCTGTGCACACTCTCTAGCATACAGACATATCAGCAGCAGCAACAGCAGCGTCATTATCACTCGCTTCCGAATGTAGGCAGCACAGGACAGGTTAAAACAGACAGCAATCGCTTATTTCTATTTCAGGATACAAGCACGTTTTTTTAGTGGTTCGCTTTATCTCTCTTTTCCTTATCTTCCTCTTATTCTTCTTTGATTTGCTTTCCTGTGCTTCGCTTTTCTACACAAAAAGATTTTCTTTATAATTAATGAATCGATCTAAAAAGAGAAGGTGATAATATCACAACATGACTACACCGGACAGAAAACACTCTAATGATGTGTGATAGTAGAGTGCGGTTTTGCATAAATCTTCCCATTACTACATCATTATCGCTTGGTTGTTTCCGCCTTCAAGTTAACTGTTGTTCAAAATTTCTGCGCACATGTTTGTGAGAATCCTCTTTAGTCAGACGATAACAGTAATAACAATGAAGATTGTGGTTATTTCTTTCCTCAGCAGCAGCGACAGCGGGAACAGTAAACATAGACTGGGAGCTAAAAAAGTGAAAGCTGAAAGTAAAGCACCTGTTTTTCCCAGGAGAAAAACAATCAGCACTCGTGAATTCTTCATCCAAGACAATCATATGTGTTGTATAGATTCAGAGTAGCGGTATGCTCATCTTATTATCATTATTATCATCATTATTATTGTGATTATATAAGCAATTTCTTCAATTTTTATCGCCGGCACAAAGTGATCAAATGCAGCTATTGCCCCTTACATCCAATCCTGTAATTTTATTATGCACTAGCATATACTTACACTGATGGATGACAGATAGTTAAGCATCTCTTCAGCATACACCTTTTCCATCATATAAACAATACATATGTATATATATCTACCAGCACCCCTCCGCTTATGCATAATACTATTGTTTTCTTATAACTGGTAGATGAGAGCAGATTTCCCTCCCTGTCTCTGTGCTTCACATAGTGCAGTTTTACGACACCCCTCCCGCCCACCACCACCATAGCACTAATTCCTGTTTATTGTTACACAAACAACAAGAACCCAGTCTTCTTTGTTCCTGTTGTTATAATTAATACACGGCATGATAAATACATATCATCATCACGGCATGAATGAGAATGCGCATCTAAACATGAAAAAAGTGAAAACATGTTTATCAGCAGATTTGCAACAAAAACAAAACAAAAACAACCCGAGCTATTGACATATCTATGTGACAGCGAGATTCAGAATGTTATATCATAGGGAACTGTGAAAACAACCACTAACGAATATTTTCCAAGACACTACAAACTCCATCTGCCCGGAGTGTTAGTCAGCGCACATATGAAAATCCGATACAGCCGCGCTTAATTTAAGTCACTGATTGTCGTCTTAATCATCGAGAATGCAGAGAGAAATTCTCTGTTAACAAAGAAAGGATGAATCAACCTGACGAAAGTTATACTTATAATTATCATGCATCTGAGTGAAGCATGGCCACAGTGAACCCTGCACCGATCAGATCTCTATTCTGCACCAGGGTCTTGGAAGGCGCAGACTAGTCCCCCGTACTGACCTTTAACATTGTCGATCGGGGGGTCGTAACCGCAGTGTCATTGAAAATGTACATCGCTCCACCGGACGCTTTATTTATACTTGGATACCTATGACTGCGTTCGAGCATGTGATGAACCATCTCTTGAAGGGTCTGTGTTCAGTGATGCTCATCAACGGGGTCTGTCCTTTCTATTCTTTATCATCCTTATCATTATGGAGGTCCTCTCCCATCGTCTGAATTCACAGGGATAGATTGTCACAGGAAAATCCTTGGTAGATTTAGAGTACGTAGATAGTATGGTCCTACTGTTGGGTGAAGATCCTGACAAGATTCAGCATCTTGTGGACACCTTGAGTGGTAGTCTGCAAGTGCTAAAGGTGAGTTTGTCACCACTTGAATCCAGATTGGTGCTTCAAGTTTGGTTCTCTGTTTACACTTAGTTTGACAATAGGGAATGAAGTGGTTGATGCCATCCATGGCGCCGGCAAGATTTTTAATGATCTGCTGAAGGTCAAGTGTAGTGTGTATCACAGTTTAATCTGTTCTATTATAATACATACATGGCTGTGAAACATGACCACCAACAAAAGATGGAGGACACGTATTGTGCATATATAGTCATAGTACAACTCAAAGCTCGATGTCAGACGAAGCAGGGTTATATTGGAAGATGGCTACAGGTGGTATCAACATCCATGAAGTGTTTAACTCTTAGGTTGGTTGAGAGTTGTGCAGCAGGATGTGTATATCCTGCTTGAGGTGATCGTTATATTCAACTTGGTGGCTAGCAGTGGAATCCAGGACGCGCATTTTGTCCGACTTGGGACTAGTCAGCTGGAAGTGCATGCCAGCATTCCAGTGAGGAGTGATGCTGTTCACACTGAGAATCGAACCTCTTACCCATGGCTACAAACGCCATAAAACACAGCTGACATGTGTGTGGCGCCTAGTTTAAAGATCTATAGACCTAAGCTTATCATGAAACGCACAGCTTACATAGGACAACATACATCAAAACAATACACAGTTAGAACAAGTCCTATTATTTCATTTATTGGATTCACTGATTCGTCAATGAATAAAAATAAAAAAGAGTTAATGATTCATAGCCCATCTACATCGCAACAAGTAAGCTATTTGCTGCAATGTGCTACAGCACATAAGGGTGAAATTTTTACTAAAGATTAGATGAATATCATAGAACATAAAGCTGAATGTAGTCTAAACTCTGGTAAAATAAGCTTTTAGATTGCGTGTATATTAAAGTATAAGAAATAAAGACCAGTAGTAATGGGGATAGGTGAATTAGTCAAACGCTTACATCATCGCGAGAATAGTCCCCTCCTGCTCCTCTTCTTCGGTCATGAGAACGACCTGAAATTAAAAGTTAAGTTGAGCATGTGATAAACAATCTTTTTTTGTTAGAACTTACTTGTTTGTGACTAGTAGTGGAATCCGGTACACAAGGGCTTCATCCTATTTAGGACTCACAAAACTCAGTGTACCTGCTTTCATCCCGATGTCGAGTAAAGTGGTCCTCACTGAGACTTGAACTTCGTACCCATAGCATCAAACGCGCTTCCTGGATTCCATTGCTAGCCACAACCAAGTCAATTATAACAATAAATATTAAAGGCATCACATAGGAGCTCATGTGCCAGCATAAACAATAATAATAACAGTAATGGTAGTAAAGGGTCACGTCAGCTTTACTTACTAGGAGAATAAAATCCTGGAGGACTTTGTTCAGGTCCGTGATTTTGACGATTCGCCTCCTTAGCAGCGCGTCGACTACGGTCTTCCTCAACAAGCTGCTCTAAAGCCGCTCTACTACGCTCCATATGCGTTGCATAACCTGCAGTTGGCCGAGTGGCACCTGGAGAAAGAGGAGTTTGCTCACGTCTGTTCCCAACATTTCGACCTGAACCACGTGGAGAAGGCGTACGTGACCACGATCGCTTTAAATGAGAAATAGAAGAGTATGATTGATGGAAAGAACAAATATGAAATTTAACAACAACAGCAGAGTTAATTTGAATAACATACCAAACCAGTGTCTTTGGTGGCCGAAAGAGATCCGTTAGTTTGCAGTTCTTTCAGAGCATCTCGAGCCTCATTATTATCCGGATCTAATTTCAGTGCTCGATTTAGCAACTGTTCTGCTTTGCTTATTTCTTTACGTCCGATCCTGAAGAGAAAAAAAATAGTATTTTAGAATGCATTACACGGAAAGAGCAGATGTACAATGTTCACGACCGAGTAAGTTCGCCTCAAAGTCGATAATTAACCGCACTACTCCGATTTTTCTGATTGTACAATTCAGATATGGAAAGACGAAATGCATGGTGGGTGTCATTATTGGTTGTCAGTGTATCTTAACAGAGAGTACATCAGTGGATGAGGTCGTGAATCTCAACTGAGTGAAGTGGCTAGGACATACGTCTCGCATATCAAGCTACTATCTCGATGCGTAATGTTCGCTAAATTAGGGACTGGGTTCGAAGGCTCAGGGTGGCCACATCAAGACACGGTTACCCGTTCATAAAGTCTTTGACAATTAGCCTGCACCATGTATGGAGGTGTAGATTACTTGGCTGAAGTCCTCAAGATGACAGGAATACATAGTTGGAAACTTGGTGAAATGGTTGAAAATCAGTAACAACGGTGCAGATGTATTCACTACTTTTTTGTTTCGGCTAGGCATCATTTTTAAATTCCTTCTCCTTCCATACACTACCTTTATCTAGTTCGACATCAGTCTTTTCCTATCCGCTCATTTTTCGTGCGCCAGTGTGAATTGTGGCAACTTGAAACGATACATCACTGCTCCAGATTCTACGTTTACCATTTTGTCTGTTTGTGTCATCCTGAAGGAATTATCTAGATGATGCAGAAGAAGTAAGACTGATAATTCCCTTTGTTCATAAATTTACAACATAATCTTGATGGTAACACAGAATCTACTCATTATAGAGTAATAATAACTGAAATTTGGCTTACATCACTGTATTATGAACATGTGACTACTAATTCATTGTTATAAACAAATTATTATTACCCGTATGCAGAACGCTACTGTATCGGTTCGTTCTATTGTTATCTACAAAACACACACACGTTTATTGTGCTGTGAGGGCTACCTAGTTGCCCGAACCTTGGTAGGTGCGCCTGGCTTCCAACTCGTGATTGTGAAAGTCGACTCCCTAAACCAATGAGCCACAGCTTCACACAAGTTAGGTTAGCTTGATAAAAATTAAACGTAACATTTGTGTCCATTTAAGGATTTTTTCAGTAAAATAAGTTGACAGTATGTTAGCTAGACAACAAATCTCATTGTCACTGAAGTGTAACGTGCAAAAACTGGCGTGATGTTTAAAATCCGACTACCTACTCTCCTCCATAATGTTGAACTAGGAAGCTTCAGAAATGCACGTGATTACAGCAACCCAGCTGGGGGACTTAACGCTGAAACTATGCTGATTCCCAGGTTGCTGTTTACTGTGACAAAAACAACAAACAACGAAATGCTAGCAAGCACCGAGTACACGTCGTGTGCATAAAAAAATTATTTCTGCAACTGAACTTGAATGAGAGGAAATATCACTGGTTATTATCAATACGGTTATATTAATCAACATATCAAGAAAACTAGTAAACAACTCACTCTCCAGCATAGGCGACTAGTGTTTGACCCAGATAATTTTTAGCATTTACATGATTTGGTTGAATGTCAAGGCTTTTCTCCAAATCTTCAACTGCTTTTGTATACGTTCCAATTGACGCATAACTTTGCACAGACAAAAAAATAAAAAAATAGAATTGTGTATACAAAATGACGACGTGGATTAGCGAACAACTAACTAAAAGCATTTGGGTACACAAATATAATTTGATGAGTAGAATACGGAAAATAAGCAGAAACAAATGGTAATAACATTTCTGACTTTGATAGCAATGATGCATGGTACTAGATAGCTGTGGAATCTAGAACACACACAGAGGTGCAATCAGCAGTAGGCAGTGAGGCACACACCCAATGTTTGAGGGCTAATGATGCTACACTACCTGGATGGCAAGACTTTAGGACGTGAGGCGCGGTGTTCGCATTCGTGACTCATTGGTTTTGAAAGTCAACCCCCTATAGCAATGAGTCACAGCTCCATCTAGGATGTCGATCTCCTTCTATGCGCCACTCATCCATTAGTTAGCTAGATGTACCTGCCTCTTCAGTGAAACTTGAATCCAGTACGCATCGACTTGGGCGCAATAGTTACGGCCTTGTGCAACGGCCGCAGTTTTGATGTCATAGTCTGTAATCTCCCGCTGTCAACTGAACCCAACTGTCAAGCTACTTTGCTTGTGAAAAAACTAGGTACAAAGCCGTGAAGGTACAAAATCAGAACACAACACATGACATTCAACCCAGTAGTTATGCACACATCACGAATACAATAACTGGCGTTCGGAATCCAGTTGGCTAGCGGTTGAATAAAACACTACATAAAGTCCTTGACTGATTTGAGCCATGTGGGGAGACGCAAACTAACCGATTGGGGTCCATATGACAAGAGAAACCAAGGGTTGGAGACTTTAGGTGATATGGCTCAGAATAGATGTCAAAGGCATAGATGTATCCATACATTACCTTCATCTTAATCGCTATACCGAATTCAGCATTATCTTATTCCTCTTTCATCTCAGTGGTTTAAAGAGATGACTATCGGTCAGTGGGTCACGGGTTTGAACCGCGTTCCACCTACCGAGGTTTGAGGAGCTAAGTAGTATCACTAGCCCTCGAAAACTAGGTGTGGCTCAGTGCCTAATCGACGAATATGCACAAAGTTGCTTAGTGAGTTTCGTTCGTTCTTTCTTCATCTGATTACTTTGTTACTTGGTGTGCTGATATGAGGTGTGGCAACTTGGACCGTTAAGCAATAATACCTGGTCTTAGTCTTATGTTGATGATGATCATATATACCGCTAGTGTTCTGTTCGACTCCTTTTTCGAATGTACTAATTGCCTTTTGCTTTAAAAAGGGGCATTTTAATTGCTTATGCGTAGTGTCCGATCGTTACGAACACGTATATCTTCAGTTTCGAAATCGAATCTAAGAAATTCACTCAGTAGTGTTGTGCACATTTCAGCAGTGGATAATGAGGCACACTGTCTAATGTGTCAGTCAGGCTGTCCAAACCTCGGTCAGTGAAGTGTGGTGTTCGAATCTGCGATACGTCGGTTATAAGAGTTGAGTGACTAGACCAAATATAGGAGCAGTTATATTCTCAATTTCAACTGAATACTAGTCTTCCGACATCAAGTCGCGAATACTCTTCGGGTTGGACGCTCTCGACTCTGAAACTCAGTCGTTAATTATCCTGATCTTTTGTTGAAGAACCACTTATCACTTCACTTCATCACAGATTGTCTGCTAGACTTGTTTTCTTAATTCCATGCCTATAACAGTAAGCAAGGACGGTATTGTTCTATTGGTATGCAGAAAGACGTTAGCTTTGGGGGTTTACATTCAATGTGTCAAGCCATTCGGCTGAGGGACTACGCACACACTTCCATTTCATCACTGTAGACGTGAAATAGTTCCAAAAAACGCATAAAAGGGCTCCGAAATCATGTACAGTTTCCTGTTCACTGCTTAGAAACAAGGTGTACTCATTTTGAGTACGTTAATGTACCGCTCTAGTTCTATTCATATATATATATATATATATATATATATATATATATATATATATATATATATATATATATTATATATCGGTTTGCAAGTTAGCCCAGAAATTATTTGTTACAAAAGTTTAGGAGTGAGGACACAGAATAGCAGAGGTACAAATTTACACAGGATGGGAAATCATTTGTTTCTCCCATGGGTTACTTACTACTACTGATTAGGTAGCTAAGGCATGCGACTAAGAATAAGTGCGCTACAATGTATAAGCTGCCTCACCTTGCTGTGTACAAGAAAACAATATTTGTTGTGACCCCTAAATAACACATATGTACTCAGTAACCCTGTGCACATTTATCCAGTAGATAGTGAGTTACAATTCTTGAGGGTCAGTGGTGCTACCTGGTCGCTTTAAACGCGATAGGTAGGAGTTGGTTCGAACTCATGATCCAATGGTTGATAGTCATCTCCCTAAACTACTGAGCCACAGCTGCAATAACACATGTAGTTCATAGAAAAAAGCGTGAAGCAATAAGTGATTGCCTGTCTACTGTGTACGCTTCTTTTCTTTCTACTTGCTTATACTTACAGATTCAGTTTCGTAACAGACAGCGGGATCCAAGTTGCTAAATTTCACATCAGGTTTCGAGTTACCGTAAAATTTATGATTAAAAAACACCTTAAAATATGCAGTTTTCACAGTGCACAAGTTAGCAAACAAGCAATTTATTTTTTGAGTTTGTGGGGATTTATGGATTTCAAGTTAGTATTCTATCCCACGACCCCGCTAGGGATTAATTCTAAGACCGTCAGCTCTCACAGCAATCGTATTTCCAATCATGAACTAGGTCGGAGTCCAGTACCCTCAGGTTTTCAAAGGTTCTGAAGATGATATCTGTCCCTGAAGTGGGGGCAATTCTTCATTTAAATCAGTCGGAGGCTGGTATTTTCAAATAATACAAAACTTAGATCATAAACTTTACAAAATTCGAAAAGTTCAATCGTGGAGGCGGACACACCGGCAGACACAATTCAGCAATGCATCGAACTATTTTACAACTTACAGAGCACCACGAGCAACATAAGCATCAGGATTAGTGGGTTCCACTTCAATTGCAAAATTATAGCACTGTAGAGCTTCTGTATTTCGACTTTCTTTGAAATATTTTACGCCTTGAGCAACACTAGCCATAAAAGGAAACAGAATTTGAATTATTAGGCTGACTAGATATCAGAGGTGAACAACAACAAGAAATGAGGCTATCGATATCCACGTGCACATCGTGATGCTTGGTTACAAACGTTATTTGTGAGATGATATGTCATATGATTTACCATTTAGTTCCCTACAAGAATACGAGATATCAAATGGTTGTTTATGTCCTAATATCAATACTTTTACATTTGCATTCTCCACACCTACAGATAAAATACACGAAACTTTATAAGTCACATTTATAAAGGTGGGTTAATTAGATAAGTTTATGAAAAGTCGAAAAGTTTGCTAATGCACCATACTGTTATTAACACGCATCATCAAAAGTATACATGTGCACGTGCAGCTAAAAAAGAATATCATAGAATAAGTCTCTTGCTAACTGTGTGTGAATAAAAATTATTCACTTTCAGAAACTATATATGCAAGCCTATTCACTAGGTACTGAGTCAAACCTGTTATGCAAGGGGTTGGACAAAACTACAAGACTGCCTAAAACTCAATCGATAATATCGGATTTGAGTCTATGAATTACTAGGTCGAAGTCCGACTGCCTACACTAGCCTATCAAACCTGTTGATCTAAGTCTTCTAGGGGAATGTAGATTTCCCGCTTGAAGTCTATGCGATGGCAGAAACCATTGGTTAGATGATATAGCTCTGAATCGATTTCAACGGCGAAGACGTATCATCTCTCCTTGCCACCTTTTGGCCATTTTTGGTTTTTTATTCTTTCATCTCAGGGAAATATCGTCTGATTTGCTAATATGAACTGTGGCCACCTTGACCGCTACGCAGGAATGCCGGGTACTCTGCTGATTCTGTCTGTGTACCAAAGCCACTGTCATAATATACAGTTTTTGCAATGTTGATAAGGTTAGAACTGTACTTAAATAGGTGTAATTCACCATCTTTATAAAAGAAAACACCAATTCTACCGACTGTTTAACTACTCAGAAGTTATTTGCACGACTAGTCTTCCACACTAGGATTACTGCGAAACAATACGGTTCAATAGTAATAATAAAATAACAACAATTCTTACTGTTTCATGGAGAAATTGAGCAACTGTGTTCGCCTTAATTCACAAGCCATCTCTGATTTAGGTAAACGGATTCTATGAATGAGCAAATAAGAAAAAGGTTAAAATATACACACCACAGAGTTTGACGATCAAGCGAAACACTTGAACCTTCAGTGACTAAGGTAGCTTGTATATATGGTCCGCATGTCGAACTACTGTTGTCTACGTTGATGTGTAGCGCTAGGCGAAATTGGAAGAAGGCTGAAGATGGCCAGACCAAGACGTGGCACTAGTGTACGTAGTTGCTGACTGTTGGTCTGAGTCGTGCAAGGTGTAGACTACCTGGTTGGGGTTCTCAAGATGATAGAAGAGTCAGTGGTTGAGGACTCATGGGAATATGGCCAAAAATCGGTCACGATAGCGGAGATGTATTCACTCTTTGACATCTCTGAAAGCTTGACTGTTTTGACCAACCTCCGTTTTAAAATACCTTCTCTCATACACCTTTGTCTACTCTGATATCAGTTTTTTTCCAACCACTTGTTCTTTGCATGTTCTTGTCAAAGATATAGCAACTGGAACCTATGCACTTCTATGCAAGATTCTATATTGATTTCTATCTGTCTGAATCAAATGAACAATTCTCTTTCATTCATTGTAGGCAAATAGTGTTTGCCGGTCACCAGCATATTATACGCTGTAAACACTAAATCCTAACAATCGACTTTTCAATTTCATTGGTAGATTTTTAACGGTAAATTATTTCATCATGAGTAAATCGCTGGTTAATTCACACTAAAAAAAAGTAGTTTACGTCTAAATATAACTTTTTTCTTTCTACATACAAAAGTAAATTCAAATTTGAAGGTTTGTGGGGATTTTTTCATTGATTTCAAGTTGGCATTCATCATGGATTGACTACCATTAGCTGGAGAACCATTTAAAACTTGGGAACACTGGACATCTGCTTCGCTCTAGTATGGGACTCCTCGGCAGCGCACACCAACAAACCAGACAGGGATCGAACCCAGGACCTTTAGGTTCCGCGACCAGCTTATTCAGTGCGCCTTCAGGTATTCAATGATTCTCTAACTGATATGTCACTCAGTCCATGATGAGTATCAACTTGAAATCGATCCAAAGTTCAATTCAGCCTTACTTGTTAATGCAAAACAGCAGGCTACAAGCTGAAGAACGTGGTATTCCCATACGAGCACACAAAACTTGAAGGCCATCCGGATTGCGAAATTGCGGTGTTGATTCAAGATAGGCTTCGTATGATTTTCCATCCAAATTTTGAAGTTTTCTAGTAAACAGAATAGTGGTGAAGAAACAGAAATGCATGAATGGATGACTTTACTATGATCAGATCAACTCAACGAGTATGTTCCTCCAATGGATTAATGAGAATATACAACATACACACACTTTAGCCAACCATTTAAATGAAGACTAGAGGGCGTATGTAATACAACACACCCATGAATCTATTGCAGATTATGATCACTAATCAAATAGTTGGAAAACCTATTCATCACCAATTTGAAACTCTAAGAGCAGAGAAAAGATACATAAGCAAAGTTGATCAATCGATTTCTTCTTCAGCGCTCCACCTAATAACTGTAGAGAAAACAGTCAAAGAAACCATCGGCATCCACTCAGTAAACCACATACACGCTCATGTACTAGGCAATAAACTACACGTTTTGTTTGAGGGTTGACGACACTGTACTACCTAACTGCCCAAACCTCGGTAGGTGGATTTGGGTTCGAATCTGGGTCCACTGATGTTGAAACAGTAAATTTAAGTAACCCTATAGCTGGACAATCCACTGATAAATGTATACACTAGCACTTGTTGAACTGTAGGGACACAGTTATGAATTTTTGAAAGACATTTCACAATCAAACCAAATGTGAAATCCGAGTGTCACTTTGAGCACATATTTGAGTAAATATAACGCAAATTTTTCAAATATTAACTCTGTTACTTGGTGGAAACCACCAGTCAGTGATTTCATGACTAGTATTGACTTTTCGCAAACTGGATGCATTATAGAGCTTATCAAATCAACACTGAATACATGCAACAAAAACGATTCTGCACCTGAGCTAGGTATCTGAAAAATTCTACTACCCTTGTCCCAAATGAGAGGTCAGGACCATATAAATTGTCTCAAAGTTGTGGAGTTACCTGATATAAATATTGACAAAAAGTGATGTCCGAAACGTTATCCAGTGAGTGGTACTATTTCACTGTGACATTGCTAATAAATAGACCAAAATAGAATTACAACCTACGACAGTGCGCACGTTTTACTCCTATATTAATGCTGAGAGTTCATTCAGCTTAAATTTGTCTCGTAAGAAATCTTGGTTGAATTGTGTTCTCTGAACTGGGTCGTTTAATCGAGCTGAGCTACAAATATTCTCCACTATTCTAATAAAAAAAAATTCGAAGATATGCTTATGTGTTGAAACATTCAAAAAAACACAGGAACATCCTTTTTGTATATTATACAACACTTACTTGTAATACAACGGCATATCATCATCAGTTATAATACCCTAGGGTGAAGAGAAAAATTAGTTGAAAAAAAATCAGAGGTTAAGAGAAAGCGTGAGATTGCATATTTCAAAAGTAAAAGTAGTATTAGTAGTGGTAAGCTTACCAATTTTAAATCCCCATACATTTCTCGATTCAACATCTTCGAATTCATGCTTAAAATGAGGCGTCCGCCTCCATGAATATCAAGAATAAATGCTGGATTCAGTGAAAGACAAAACAAAATAAACAGAATTATTACAACAGAAACGAAAATTATTGCTTTTCTAAAAATCATCGTCCACTCAATGTCAGCTCAAAGTTGATGCTTCTCAATACAAAGTGTTGAGAATTAAAGAGGGAGGGGGTAGCTGAACTGAGAGCTCGACAAGAACAAGCTACCGGGATCACTCAAGCAATTAATTAACACTAGCAATAAAGCGGTATGAAGGAACCTAGTTGGTTCCAACGCATGCAACAAAATCATAACAAAATTGACTGGCAGAATGTGGAAAACTCCTCCAAGTCGCAAAAGAATCGCTAAAAGGCATTCAAACGAAAAGCTAGTCAAAAAACACGCAGATATACAACCAATCGACTTAAGGAGGAAACGTCGATCCACCAAGCAAGCGTAAACTGACCCAATAAATCAGTAATGAAGAACAACCCGACCGATAGCTGCTACCTTGACGTGGTGGTCGGGCTTGCATATCACAATGACCCAACGAGCTATGCTGGTGGAACGCTTGTTCCCTCGAGGTCCTACCATACCAGAAAGGTCTGTTGGGTAGTGGTTAGACGAAAAGCAGTTACCGTTATAGTGTAAATTGCTACACTATGATGGGGGTCTGAGGGCGAAGTCGTACTGCTGCTAGCTGGATGGGGTGTGACAGCAGTAAGGTGTTTCCCTTGGATGACCAGCAGTGCCAAGCTGATGCTGCCTTCTCAGTGGAAGGGGGGGTTAGAAAAGGTCGGCCCCAAAAATAACACACTCCACCACGCCCCACGGTCTGCCGGGCCGGCGGTGTTGGTTCACTTGTCGTTTCCTTTCGCTCATCCGGCCCCAAAAATACAAAAATTCAAAATAATCATACTCAAAAGGCTGGGTGTGACAGGCCTCAAGCAGATGTCCGATGGGCTCTGCGGTCACACAAATCTCTTTCAGGTACCTTAAGAAGAAATAGCCTTCCACGGTGTGGGCAGCCGGGAAGTGTCAACCGCCCTCACAACTCTGTCAGCACCCAAGTTTCTTCTGACTGCTATCCTCCTCCTCCATCATTACCTTCTAATCTTCCTTCACGTCTCTTAATTAATGATGCTGCATCATCTTCAATTTCTCCTACCTCTGCAGCCTTCGACAACGATCTGAGTCCACAGAACAGCATCCCTGGTCTCCTTAAACCACGCTCCAAATTACATATTGGAGCCTTCAATGTCCGCACCCTCCGTCAAATTGGCCAACAGGCTTCGTTGGCAAAGACTCTAGCAACTCGGGCATGGATGTGTGCTGTGTTTGTGAGACACGCATACAGGACCCAAGTGTGGTTATTCACCTGACCTCTCCTGACCAATCTGGTGAATCTGCAAAATTCACCCTTCGAGTTTCTGGAGATTCGATAGCTAGCTCTCGTGGTCTTGCAGGTGTAGGTATAGCATTAAGCACCAGGGCAGAAAACTCACTACTAGACTGGATCCCAGTTGATAGTCGCCTCTGCGCTATGAGGCTGAACGGCACAGTGAGAACTAAAAGGAATAGTGAGACTCGCCGTTGTCTCTTTGTAATCTCTGCTTACGCACCCACTGACTGTAGTTCGGATGAAGTGAAGGACGAGTTCTACCATAAACTGTCTAACCTCCTCTCGAAAGCCAAACGTTCGGACGTAGTGGTTGTTGCAGGTGACCTCAACGCACAGGTGGGTAGACTGAGTGAGGCAGAAAGGCACTTAGGTGGCACTTTCGGAATCCCAGCTGAACGTACAGATAACGGTGATCGCCTATTACAACTATGCTCAGATAACCGCCTATTTTTAGCCAGCACAAATTTCAGACATAAAGAAAGGCACTGTCTGACCTGGCGTCCACCGAGCTCGACTCAGCGATGGACACAGATAGACCACATTGCTATTAGTCATCGCTGGAGAGGATCGGTGGAAGACTGCCGCTCCTTCTGGAGTACGTGTTTGGACAGCGATCATGCGTTGGTCCGAGCACGTATATGCCTGCGTCTCAATGGACGTAGAAAAAATTTGGCAACAAAACCACTACGAGTTCTGCTGGACAACGAAAACACCAAAGCCGTGTTCAGTGAGAAGTTGGCTAGGCAGTTATCGGAACAAAAGACTGTCACTCATCCAGAAGAAGCTTGGTGCCATCTTCAGTCTACTGTAAAAGCAGCACTGGAGACTGTAGCCGACTCCAAGATAATGGCTAAAAAGAGCCAGTGGATATCAGCAGCTTCTTCCAAACTAATGGATGCACGTGAATGCATCCCTGCAGGCTCTGAGTACAATGAAGAGCGAGCGCAACTTAAAAATAAACTGACGAAAAGTCTGCGCAACGATCGTGAACAGTGGTGGGCAGCAAAGGCTAAAGAGATGGAAAAGGCAGCGGCGATCGGTAACAGTAGACAGTTATTTAGACTTATTAAGGAGACTGGGGGGAAATGGTCAACAACAGTTAGTGAGGTTATAGCGGAGAAGGACGGATCGGCGATTCACTCGCAGGGAAGGCGACTGGGACGATGGGCAGAACACTTTGAGGAACAGTTTAACTGGCCTCCAGCCACCATTGCGCTGCCCGCTATCCAGTCGGACCCTGAATGGGACATAGAGACAGGTCCCCCAACACTAGAAGAAGTTGAGAAAGCGGTAGGTAGCCTGAAACGGGGAAGGGCAGCAGGACCAGACGGACTACCTGCTGAGGTATACAAGAATGGTGGTAGAGTTCTCTTAGTCAGGCTAACGGAAGTGTTAGCCAGTATATGGGAATCAAATACGATCCCCTCCGACTGGTCTAAGTCACTGATCATCCCAGTCTTCAAGAAAGGCGAGAAGTCCTCTTGTGATAACCACAGAGGAATCAGCCTGACAAACATAGTGTCTAAGATCCTAAGTTCTATAATTCTCCGACGCCTGAGTGGAGCTCGGGAACAGCAAGCCCGAGAAAACCAGGCAGGCTTTAGACCTGGCCGTGGATGTATCGACCAAATATTCACACTGCGCCAGGTCCTGGAACATAGGCATGCTTACAGACGCCCGACAATAGCTGTATTTCTCGACCTGAAGGCGGCATTTGACTCCGTTGATCGAGAAGTCTTATGGCAGTGTCTGTCACTGAAAGGCGTGCCTAGTAAGTACATCACCTTATTGAAAGCTCTCTACTCGAACACTTGTGGGCATGTTAGAGCCTATGGTGAGTTGTCCAGGGAGCTATACTCATCAAGTGGTGTCCGTCAAGGATGCCCACTATCCCCATTCTTATTTAATTTTATCATAGATATTCTTATGGAGGTTTCCCTCTCGTCACCTAATTACAAAGACGTTGACCGGATCACAGGTGAATTTTCCTTAGATCTAGAATATGCAGATGACATAGTCCTGTTAGGTGAAGACGCTGACAAGATGCAGAGTCTTCTGAACACTTTGAGTGGGAATTTGAGAATGTTTGGGATGCGATTTTCACCACCCAAATGCAAATTTTTGCTCCAGGACTGGTCTTCAGCGGTACCGCGGTTAACAATAGAGAGTGAAGTGGTTGAGTGTGTTGACCACTTCACTTACCTGGGAAGTAGGATCAACTCCGGTGGGTTAGTTGCCGATGAGATTTCTGCACGGATACAAAAGGCTCGATTGGCTTTTGCCAATTTGCGCCACCTATGGCGCCGCCGTGATATTCGTTTGTCTATTAAGGGTCGCGTGTACTGCACAGCAGTCCGCTCTGTTCTACTGTATGGCTGTGAAACATGGCCATTGAAAGTGGAGGATACAAAAAGGCTTCAGGTGTTTGACCACCGTTGCCTTCGTAGTATAGGACGTATTCCGTGGTGTCACCATGTGAGTAATGCAGAAGTTAGGTGTAGAGTTTTGGGGAGAAGAGGTAAGTCAGTCGACGAGGTTGTGAACCTTCATCGACTGAGATGGTTGGGACACGTACTACGTATGCCTAGTCACCGATTGCCTCGTCACACAATGTTGGCTGAGGTGGGTTCAGGCTGGAAAAAGGCCCGAGGTGGCCAGACTAAAACATGGCACCAATGTATGAAGTCTCTGACTGTTGGTTTAAGCCATGTAGGACGATGCAGACTAGGTGGTTGGGGTCCACGGGACAAGAGGAACCAGTGGTTGGAGACCCTAGGTGATATGGCTCAGAACCGAAGTCAGTGGCGCAGATGTATACACACATTATCCTCATCTTAACAACGCTATACCGAATCTCACTATTTTGTCACTCCTCTTTCCTTTCTTCTCGTACTTTATATTTCTTTTGACTGCATTCACTTATCTTCATCCTTCACCTCACTACCTTTTTACTTGATGTGCTGATATGAGGTGTGGCAACTCGGACCGTTACGCAGTAATGCCTGGTCCTATGTTGATAATGATGATGATGATGATGAATGAAGAACAAAGCCACAGTAATAAATAGTATAATCCCAATCAAATTGTTTCTGTGGCTAAAGTTTTTCATATGCTTGGGTCGCCTTGTGCAGCATATAGATGCTTTGGTGAGACGTTAATGTAAGGCTTCATTATTGGTAGTGTCTAGGTAGCTAGTCTACGATCCAAGAAGGAAGCTAATAAACTAGGGGTCCAAGGAGTTATCACTAAATTAAGACTGAGAAAATCAGCGTAGAACCTCGCATACATGTGCATTAGTTCAATTTATCACACTCGAGACACAGTAGTACACAAAGAACAGGTGGATAGGATAGGAGAAGAGTGATATGAAAGTGGATAGAGTAGTATGTGTGTGTGTGAGGGAAACAGACTAAGCGATGTGAAGGTTAGTGTAAATATGCCAAACATTAGATGTGAAGGGGTGAATAGGGTGACTGGGCGATCGTGATCAATTTTCAGGCATGTCACCAATAGTCGTCAAGCACTGACTGACTGATTGAGTGATTGATTGATCGACAGACGAACAGTTAGAGATTTGATCTACTGGTGCGATGTGTTGGTGTGGCCGCGGTGATGAAGCGTCTTCCAACGTAATCCAACTTCCCCTAGGTAGGATAGTGAGTGGTAGGTGGAGGGAGGGAGGGGTGGCTCGGCATGTCCTCCAGTATATGTGGAAGCCATCTCAGTGGATGATGGTTGACGACGTCATCGTCATCAATCGACTTGCGTATCAGTACAGTACAGTGCCTTGCCTAAACATTGGTGACACGGCGTTGATGCTGAGTGTTGTGGCATTCACAAAGTGAACAATGCCAAGTTTAAGTGTGAAGTGCTAGGTAAAGAAGCCAACTCAATCGATCAGGTTGTGAACCTTTACCGATCGAGGTGATTTGGACATGTTGTAAGGCCTGAGCCACCACCTGCATCTCCACATGCGATATCGAGTGAACGAGGATTGGGTTGAGATAAAGCTGTTTCTGACTGCTGGTTTGAATCGTGTTGGGAAGCGTAGATTGGCTGTGTGCGGAGGGGGTTTCGGGATGTCAAGTCAACGGTCGGAGACGGCCAGTGGTATGGTTCAAAGTCTACGATGCAAGGGCATCATTTCTAATATTCAGATCATCTTATTAAACTTAGCTACCACTTTCTGTATTAGTGTAACGAAGTAAGAAAACCTAGACTGTTTTACACTCGTACGGTGCTTCACACTACCGGTTTAGCCGGTTCATTCAAATCTGGCACCAAAAGACCCTAACATAGCAACTAACTTGCAATTGTTAATAAGTCAAACACTAAATAAAGTAGACTACTTACCACGAACTTTGTCGCCGATCTGAAAAGCATCCAAAGCGTTCCATGAGCATTGTATCGTGGAAGCTGCCTCAATGGACAAAAGCCCTTATAATTAATAAGGGGTGACGGTCAATGGAAAGAACAACATACCGAAACTTTTAAACCTTCAAAGTCACGTCGTGGTCCCTGATCATATGCCAAAATAGTGATTACAAGACCAGAATCTTGAATAACACTTATAACACCGACCAATACATCATCGCGTCGACATGTCTAGTAAGAGGGATATAAGTAATGATATAGTCCAACGTAGAGTAGAAAGAATAAATCAAAATCGTGACAACCCAAGGGACAATGAGACAGAGGAATAGGGAATATCTTAGTTTACAGTGGTAAGCTAATGTGGAACTCCCGTATACACCACACACTAAAGACCCCAAAGACGTATCCGATAACTAATTGCAAAATTGTACAGACCAGCAGAAGACGATTTCTCTAGTCAAATGAAGAATATGAATCAGTGACAGATGGATATATCAAAGTAGGGTTCAGCACAATAGTGCATCAGTCCAAGGACGGGGAAAGATAATCGAAACCCACTCAGAAACTATGTGCTTATTCATACAGCAGGCAATGAGCCACACCTATTATGTGGAAGTGAGTGGTACTGCCCGATTGCTCGTACCCCGGTTGGTGGAAACGGGTCTAAACCCGTAACCCATTAGTTGGAAATCAAGTGTCTAGACCAATGAGCCCCATCACAAAAGCCCATGGAATTTAAAAAACGAAGCGAAATAAAAAAGTCCAGACTCAATGATGACAAGCAGTGAATGCACCTACGCCATTGTGAATGGTTTCTAGCCATAATCAAAGGTCATTAATCATTGATTCTTATCCTCTACTGAATACCAGTCTACCATTAACTACATGGTTCGGATCAGTCAAAACTTCACTTTTAACATAATCCTACTTCAGCTGACATTGCAGGTTAAGGTTAACGGTGACTAGTACCCTTCATCTAACCTCGACAGTGATCATACAGTCGTCTCATTACACGTGAGCAATGTCATGAAGTCAGTCAAAATCCATACTTCTTCATAATTTCTGCTTTAAACGGTTCAGGATAGCTGGTTTTAAAAATGTTCCTACCATATCAGTTAACTGATACCTATCCAGCTAGTTAACCAGTTGTCAGCTGAGGGCTTTATTTCTACAAAGTCAAGAAGTAGCGCACAGATGACCCTGAACGACCAGTCAAATTGTACGATCACGTAGGTTGTACAGTGATATTAAAAATATGCATCTTAGTAGACACTGTTTAGATAAGGCTGAAGTAATTATTGTTCTTAAATGAGGGTGTACGGATAACCATGTCGCTCAGAGCTTTCGTGCAAATAATTTCTAGAAGACTAGCTAAGTGACGTCACTAGTGCTGAAAAGCGCAGTTGGACACTGTGTTGACAGTCGGCTGGCTACCTGCTAGCTTTGAAAGTAATCCTAGGTTGAATGGTTTTCTTTTGTATGTAAGCGTTTATTTACTTTGAATAATCTGAGTTGCTAGCATTCATTTGACAAGGTTCTGGAAAACTACTTGGTGATAGTGAGTCAGCAGTATCCAAAATGTGAGCGAATATGTGAACACAAGCCCCTGTCTGGTATTCGGTTGTTTGAACCATCCAGTATCACCTACAAAGTCGTAATTACAACTATGAAGATATGCATCAGAAAAGTGACAATCGCTAAAACACTACTCATTACATCTAGAGCAATCCGTGATACAAAAGGGCCGACAAACCTAAGGGCCCCAGGCAGATAATAAAAACTGGGCTTACGGCAAAAAACTGGTCTCGGCGAATTTCATCTGGGACATCCATGAATGTTTCGATAGGGGGAGCTACAGCACAAAAAGCTGCGGCCTGTTCATCTGGCCAAACTGGTGCGTGGGGTGGTGGTGCCTGAGCTGCTGGATTACTGCCTGGAGGCAAATTGAGGAGACGCTCTAGGTCATTGCCTTCCGCTGGGGGTGGTCTATGCATTCGACTGATTATTTCAGCCTGGAACATAGTAGGTGCTCAAGTTTTGCACCAAAAGTAGTCCTAAAAAACAAATTAATTTTGTGATCGAATTGAGTAGAAAAAACATTTACACGTTTTGTAGTAAATATCAGAAAAAATAAGGAAGTCAGAAAGCAAGTAGGAAAACAACTATCCTGAATTAACGTACATGACAGATGCATACAATTGAAATGTGTTTCATCAAAGGCCAATAAACACTTAAACAATGGAAACCTTCAAAGCACATGATGTTATTTTTAGAATTACATATATATAGGAATGTACAGCCTGAAAATTAATTCCTTTAAAAGATCTTCCTCGTTGAGTATATTGTTCGTAATGTTACAGTGGTAGTTATTAAATTACTTTTTCCTTTTCCAAGTGAATAGCCAGCATATGCAAAAGCTTATTTTTTTCTCAGTGAAAGTGTTATGAAGGGTAATTATCCTTCCGGGTTCACTTATTCCAAGTGGTTTGAGTGTTGTGGACGGAAAAGAAAAAACCCTTTCTTATCTGGCTTCCTCGTCTACAATCAGTGGATAGCTAATTCCTGTGGTTGTATAGAGAGACCAAAAGGTGGAAGTTGCCCTTAAGAAACTTACACTCGAAAGTATCATCAGAAGTTTTACAAACCATGGTTAGGTGGTCCACTACGGCTCCCGTAAGTGGAAGTCCCTAAGGATACTATGAACCCTACGCGAATAATAACGGCTGCAACTAGGCTGTCATGCTGTCCTGGTCCAGTAAGGAAGGTTGACCTTCTCCAACTCAGATAGTGTTATGGGGCGATGATTCATTCTTTTTAAACTTTTTCTGCTCCACTAAGAAAAATGATATTCAGATACTGCCCGTAAAAATGGCGTGTTCGCATGACTCATTATTATAAACATATCATTATTATATTATTGGTCACCCTGAGGCAGAATAAAGCCATTTTTCAGGCAACACAGATAATAAGATAGGACTGACTAACGAGTAGTATATATTCCTACATATATTTTCGTGTGAATGTGACACACTTCATGTAGCCCTCAAATAAAATAGGTACTCACATCCTAGTTGTTCGCAGTAAATGAAAAACATTTAGTGGGTGATGTACTGGGTTATACAGAGTCTTTGTAAAAATGCATCCACAATAAAAATGAGTGCTTCGCTGTTCAGTGTGAAGAAATCAGAACTATAGCTGGAGTGAGGTAAAGGTTGGTGAGGGACGACGACGGTTACAACAGGGTGGAAAAGTTACAGAATCTACCATAAATCAGTGTGTAATAGATTGAGAAACTCATAACTAGTAGCACTGAAAGAGTTTGATTGAACCGGAAGTTGATCCAGTGTAAGAACCACTGGTAAGTAAAATATGGAGGTGTAGGATGGCTGTGTTTTAGGGAAGACTAAAGTCTCCGATTTCAAATCTTCCTTATTGCTGCACGAAGTGTATCAAATAAAAGGTTTGTGACTTCTTCCTCCCCTGAATCCGAGTGAAATATTTCCCACCTGAACTCTGTGTTGCTCGCAATAACTTGAACAACATAACTTGATACGTCGTTCGCACTGTAACGAGCTTCTTTTCACTTACGCATTGATTTGATCATTTCAGATCATCAGCGTTGTATCGACATCTAAATTTAAGCAGCACAATGATTTCATCACGCCTGCACGCCGGCATGTGGTTGTATTCACGAGAACAAACCATTGTCAGCACTATTTTTTGATATCGTGTTGGCATGCATGCGTGATAGTGCATCGGCGGCTTCGTTTCTGGTACATTTATCGAAGTGGATGACGGGTGCACGTTGTACTGTGGATTCCGGGCACCATGTTTCAAGCGGGAAACAGTTGTCTCGTTTAGCTGATAGGCCTTTACCCAAGGTTTTCTGGTCTGGGAAAACTGTAAAGTTAATGCCTCCTCACATATATCTCAAATGTTTTATCGCTAGGTATGCAGCCGGCAACTCTCCAACAAACGCCCTGAAAAGGCGTCGAATTGAACTCATGTATTTTGAAAGGAATGGTAGCGGCCACCTTCATCCATGTTCCTGCTGTTGTGACACCGCTCCAACAGCGGTAGGCGCCTGCCGCTAGTGATAATAGAGAGTTTATACGTGTTCTGAAGAGAATCTTCACCTATTAGGGAGCTTCCTACCTTTTCTAGAAGAATATATTGCCTCTGCAGGCATACGGAGAGAGAGCGGAGACATTTTATGTGAAGAGTCAGTTATTGGCTGCAGAATGGCGCCACGGTATGAAATGACTGGATGTCAAGGGTTTAATAGACCAGGGAAGCTATGGAGTTTTGTTAACGGGTCCGACAGCTGTGGTCTTTTACAACTTGTGCTTCTGCCAGGTCTGGGTTTGTATCACGTTTCACCATTAGGTTTCCTGAGAATTTCAATGGACATGATCTAGAACCATCCTTTTTCGAGGCCATGCACTATCTCATTTTGTACGAGTCCTTCAAAAAAGTCCTTTAGAGGGTTCATGTATTCGGTGTCGTATAAAGTGGCGATGAGGCACTTATCGGCCTGAGGATATACGAAAATGAATCTTATGAGGGTCTGATCTAAGGAGCGTTGAAGTGTCTGAGCTGTGGTCACAGGTCCGAAAGGCACCCTAACGGATTCACATAGGTCGAAAGAAGTATTGCTGGCCGTCTTTAGGCTTTTACCAGGCTTTGTAGGAATATGGCGGCAGGTCCCAGTGACATCTATCTTTGTCAAAACAGTGACTGGGTAGAAAATACTTCTTTGGGGCTGTTAGTGGGACTGAGGTACTCCGCTGTGAACGCAGTGACCATAGAGCCTCAGAATACAAATAATGAACACGGAAACCCAAAACAATGCCAAAAAACAACTCATGAACCTGGAGCACTTAATTTATTGTGCAGATGGTCACAAAGTCACAACATAAAGGCTTGATGTTACTGAAGTTCCATAATGTACGACAACATTACTCAGTACTTCCGGTCGTATTACTCACACGTCCCGACTGAGTCAATGGACGCGAAAATGGACCTCTGTGAGGGCAGCCGTTACGACCAAACAAGTGTGGATGCTTTAGTGTGTGAGCATTATTGACACCCTCTTCGAAAAATAGGTTCATTCCACTTTTCAACAGCTAAAACACAGACTATCCTTTTTGACAAACGATCTGGGCTACTTTTGGCGGATCTACGGTGAGTAGAAAACCAAAAGAGGTGGGAAAACACCGGAGAAGCACAAGCGCCCTTAATCAAACACTCTCTTATTGCTTAGGTGCTGATACAATCCACTCGCAGCCTCCATATTCCATCTTGACTTCTATTCACCAGTGTGGGCGAAGAATTTAGCTTCGTCTTGTCAGAGTGCTTGTCTCCAGAGGACGGTAAGTTGTCGACGTGAGAGATTAATGCGGTGAATATCCATAATATGTTCTGTACACTTTACTCAGAACTGACATGGAAACATGGTGCAGTTGTTTGGTACCGTCTGTTGCGTGCGTTTTCGTTTTGTTCCTGTAATGTATTCAAAAACATTGACTATTCATCTTGTTTGACCTCATTCAATTCGTTTGAGGAGCCATATTTGAACTCTTGTTTCTATTAGTGTCGCCAGTGTCCTTCGCTTTGACTAGAAACTGCAGTAGCCGCTAAAACTGAAGGTTTGTAGCCATATTTTGTGCATATATTTTGCTGTGAAGAACTATTTTCACAGGGTTCACTTACTATTTTAACATACATTTGCTGTTTGGCAACAAAGTGTTTCGGATTTGGTTGGCAGGGTTTGGGAACTCTGAGATTCGTATCTTCGTTACGCTCTACTCAGTGGATCTGGTGCAACACCATCACCGCACGCAAAACACAGAGCCCAAAGAGTGTGATGAATTTCTTTATGAAATACACAAAAATTACTGGTTTCATGATAATATGATATTTATTCCAAGAGAGATGGGCTATATGAAAACAGACCAGTTTGCAAGTATGGTGTCATGGGTAGTGTCCATAGATATGCTCACATATGCACATTCAAATTAAAAAGTTGCACCAGAAAGCAGGCTGTCTTCAGCTAAAGGTTATTACTAGATTCACCCGCTTATCTCCGAAACAATAGCTTGCCGCAGGATTCCAGCACAAGTATACACATTGCGCACTATGAGCAAATGAATACATAAACGCATTACTCATGTTTGCTCTATAGTGTATCTCATTCTATGGAATATGTAACACACTGACCATTGAGGAACTACAGAACTTGGGACTGTACACCCACAATGTATGACAACCTATCTTGATGTGAAAATTGTCCCAATGTCCAGTGCCCCACTCACCTTTCTTCCCACACTCAAGCACTCACAGCTTTCCGACGTCTCTTGTAGCACTCCGTGCTTCGTCCTCACATAGCCAGTTTGTGCTGACCCATCGTTACTGACTTGGACTATCTCAAGAAAGTGGCTAGCTAGCAATTTGAACATGTCGTACACCAACACTGCGTCTCTAACTTGAAGGTGTCTGAAACGCCTACTTTGTTTATATCTCACATGCAGAGTTATGGCATACTCTCAACCAAGTTTCCCAAAAAGCCTCTCCCAAGTGCCTTGCTTTTCCCCCTCTTCTAACGCTACGGCTTTACTCAGTTTCATCTTTCTGGGGCGCTACATTACGCCTGGGAAATAGCAACATGTCTGCAGTTGGAATGTGAAGTTTTTTCGCATAACCCATCATAGGTCAAGACGGCCTTACTGTAAAACCGTCTTTGTACCTTGATAACGGAGCTCAACACTCGTCAAACAATTTCCTCCAACTGTTCTTGTGAGTCATCACGACGAGGGCCTTGAAGATATCTCCCCAGTTTGGCGTGATGAACAACTCTTGCATCTCTGGAAGTCGCCTTTGGCATACCTTGGAGGTCACTTAACTTCCGCGGAGCCAAAATTAAACAATCTGTATAAAGTGTGTGGATATTCGCAATGCGCACCCCACCATCTTCAGGTGGGCTGGGAAACATTACCATCTCCTACATGTGTTTCTTGCTCAC